AAGGCCTTTGACAAGGTGCTGCACTGGAGGCTGCTGAGTAAGATAAGGGCCCATGGTGTTAGAATCAAGGTGCTAGCTTGGATAGAAGATTGACTTTCTGGCAGAAAGCAGAGAGTGGGGATAAAAGGGCCTTTCTCAGGATGGCTGCCGGTGACAAGCGGTGTTCCACAAGGGTCAGTGTTGGGACCACAACTTTTCACTTTATACATTAATGATCTAGATGAAGGAACTGAGGACATTCTGATTATGTTTGCAGATGACACAAAGATAGGTAGAGGGACAGTTAGTATTGAGGATGTAGGGAGGCTGTAGAAGGATTTGGACAGGTTAGCAGAGTGGGCAAAGAAGTGGCAGATGGAGTACTACGTAAGAAAGTGTAAAGTCATGCACTTTGGTAAGAAGAATAGAAGCATGGACTATTTTCTAAATGGGGAGAAAATTCAGAAGTCTGGACTGCAAAGAGACTTGGGAGTTCTAGTCCAGGATTCTCTCAAGGTTAACTTGCAAGTTGAGTCAGTATTTAGGAAGGCAAATGTAACTTTGGCATTTATTTTGAGAGACTTGAATATGAAAGCAGCGATGTACTTCTGAGGCTCTGGTCAGGCCACATTTGGAATAATGTGCGCAGTTTTGGGCTCCATATTTCAGGAAAGACGTACTGGCCCTTTTGCGGGTTCAGAGGAGGTTCATGAGAATAGTCCCAGGAATGAAAAACTTAACATATGAGGAACGCTTTAGGACTATACTTGATGGAGTTTAGAAAGATGAGGGAGGATCTAATTGAAACTTACAGAATACTGAATGGCCTGGACAGAGTGGATGTTAAGAAAATGCTTCCATTAGTAGGAGAGACTAGGATCGGAGAGAACAGCCTTAGAGTAAAGGGAAGATCTTTTAGAATGGAGATAAGGAGAATCTTCTTCAGCCAGAGAGTGGTGAATCTCTTAAATTCACTGCCACAGAAGGCTGTGGAGACCAGGTCATTGAGTACGTTTAAGATGAAGATAGATAGGTTCTTGATTGTCAAGGAGATCAGGGGTTATGGAGAGAAAGCAGGAGAATGGGGTTGAGAAACTTAACAGCCATGATTGAATGGCGAAGCAGACTCGATGGGCTGAATGGCCTAATTTCTGCTCCGACGTCTTATGGGCTTATAGTCCTAGTTGGAAAGTTGGGCGTGGGGGTCATCAAACATGAGATAATGAGAGTTCAGAGACAGTATGTTCCTGTTAGTGTGAAGAGCAAATTTGGTAGGTGTAGGGAATGCTGGATGACTAGAAAAATTGAGGGTCTGCTCAAGAAAAAGAAGGAGGAGGCATATGTCAGGTACAGACAGCTGAGATTGAGTGAATCCTTAGAGGAGTATAAGGGCTTCAGGAGTATACTTAAGTGGGAAATCGAGAGGGGAAAAAAGGAGATTTCAGATGATGTTAGCAAATACAGTTAAGGAAAATCCAAAGAGATTCTACAAATACATAAGGGCAAAATAGTAAGTAAGAAGAGAATAGGGATCCTTAAACATCAATGAGATTGTCTCTCTGTGGTACCACAGGAAATGGGTGAGATACTAAACAAATATTTTGCATCAGTATTTATCGTGGAAAAGGACATGGAAGCGAGGGAACTTATGGAAATAGTGTTATCTTGAAAAGTGTCCATATTAGAGAACAGGAGATGCTGGAGGTCTTAAAATGTATAAAGGTAGATAAATCCCCAGGACCTAATCGGGTGTATCCCAGAACTTTGTGGGATGCTATGGAAGAGATTGCTGGGCCCCTTGCTGAGATATTTGTATCATTGATAGCCACGGGTAATGGGCTCGCTAAAGAGGTCCCATTATTTGAGGAAAGTGGTAAGGAAAAGCCACGGAACCTTACGTCAGTGGTGGATATGTTGTTGGAGAGGAATCTGAGGGACAGGATTCACATGCATTTGAAAAGGCAAGGACTGATCAGAGATGGTCAACATGGCTTTGTGCATGACTCACTAACTTGATTGAGTTTTTTGAAGAGATGACAAAGAAGATTGATGAAGGCAGAGCGGTAGACATTGTCTGTATGGATTTGAGCAAGTCTTTCGACAATGTTCCGCATGGTAGACTGGTTAGCAAGGGGTGAGCTAGCTAATTGGCTACAAAATAAGCTTTAAGCTAGGAGACAGAGGGTGGTGGTAGAGAGTTGTTTTTCAGACCAGAGAACTGTGACCAACAATGTGCCACAAAGACCGGTGCTAGTTACACTGCATTTCATCACTTATATAAATTATTTGGATGTGAATATAGGATGTTTCATTCGTAAGTTTGTAGATGACGTCAAAATAGGTGGTGTAGTGGATAATGAAGAATTTTATCTCAGAGTACAATGGGTCCTTGATCAGATGGGCTAATGGGCCGAGGAGTGGCAGATGGAATTTAATTCAGATAAATGAGATGTGTTGCATTTTGGTAAGGCAAACCAGGGCAGGACTTATACAGAAAATGGTAGGGCCCTGGGGAGTGTTGCCAAAAAAATGAGATCTTGGGGTGTAGATGCATAGTTCCTTGAAAGTGGAGTCACAGTTTGACAGGATGGTGAAGAAGGTACACTTGCCTTCATTATTCAGTGCACTGAGTATGGAGTTGGGATGTCACGTTAGATGTACAGGACATGAAGCCACTTTTAGAATATAGCGCTCAATTCTGTTCTCTCTGCTATAGAAAAGATAAACTTGAAAGGGTTCAGAAAAGATTTACAAGGATGTTGCCAGTTTGAAGGGTTTGAGCAACAAGGAGAGACCTATTAACTGGGGCTTTTTTCCTTGGAGCATTGGAGGCTGAGGGGTGACCTTAGAGACGTTTATAAAATCATGAGGGGCATGGATAGGGTGAATAGTTGAGGTCTTTTTCCCAGAGTAGGGCGTCCAAAACTAAAGGGTGTCGGTTAAGGTGAGGTGGAAAGATTTAAAATGGACCTGAGGGGCAGCTTTTTCATGCAGAGGGTGGTGCATGTTTGGGACGACCTGCCAGAGGAGGTGGTGGAAGTGGGTACAATTACAACGTTTAAAAGGCATCTGAATGGATACATGAATAGGAAAGGTTTAGAGGGATATGGGCCAAATGCTGGCAAATCGGATAGATCAGGTTAGGATATCATGCACAAGCTAGACAGAATGGTCTGTTTCTGTGCTGTATAACTCTATGACTTCTCATGAGATTCTCCTACATTTCTCACCGTAACCCACATTGTTCAGAGCCCGGAAAGATGTTGCCCTAAGAATTAACATAAACAGCCAGAGTTTCAATATTTGGGAAAGTTCTCACGGATCATGTTGTCCTGAATCTGTTCAGCAACATTTTTGAACTACTCACGGAGCTCAGACTTGATAAAGGAAGGTTTTTAGGGAATTAGAAGAATTACAACATAATGATTCCCATGTGTTCCCCAGTGCTTGCTCTGTAATTTATATATTTCTCTATTCACTAGTTTCATTACCCTCAGCTCACTGGAGCCGTTTAGTTCATTTAGGTGGACAGCTGGTTTGCAATGCAGAGTTAACAGTGTGTGTTCATTTCCTACGCAGGTTGAGGTTATCACGAAGGACTCTCTTTAGCCTCTTCCCTTGCCTGACGCATGGTAGCCTTCAGGTTAAATCACCAACAGTTGTCTCCCTCTAATAAGAGCGCAGATAACAAGGTGTAGAGATGGATGAATACAGCAAGCCAAGCAGCAGAGAAGCAGGAAAGCTGACGTTTCGGGCCTAGACCCTTCTTCAGAAATCAGCCGTGTGATCTCTTTAAGGTAACTTTACCCAGCCCACAGTTCATAAACTTCCCTCTTCAATTCCACCTTATTCCTACCAGTGAGAATGTTTGTCTTAGATTTGCCTTTCACGAAATAATGGGGGAAAATAAAATCTTCCATTAAGTAAGGTGTCCCTTATCTCTGAACTGGCTGTTCCTCTGCTGTTCGCAATCGCCACCCTGCTGTTTTTGCTCCTGACTTTGTGGGAAACATTGCTCCCTAAAAACATTCCACGCCTTCTCCACCTCGTCCAGTCCGCCTGCAAGCTCCCAACCTCGTCCAAAAGTCATCTGTGAAGTACCCGTTTCGCAATCTCTCTCCATCCCTTTTGAAAACTCATAGCTAAAGACATTTCCTCCACACACTTGTAGGAATTGTAAGTTTATCAAACTCAAAATGTATTTCATAAGTCTACGTGTCCTTTAAATAGCCCGTCTTCCTAAATGATATTAATTTTTATCTTGTACTACAGTGTCTCGCTGACATGATGTGGAGGTGCCGGTGTTGGACAAGTCAGAAATGACACGGCACCAGGTTATAGTCCATCAGGTTTGTTTGAAAACACAAGCTTTCGGAGCCTCAGTCCACTTTTATGTCTTTCTCAGTCCACTGAGGCTCCGAGGGCTTGTGTTTTCAAATAAACCTGTTGGGCTATAACAGGAACAAAAATAAAGTTGCTGAAAAAGCTCAGCAGGTCTGGCAGCATCTGTGAAGGAAAAAACAGTTAACGTTTCGGGTCCGGTGACCCTTCCTCAGAACTTACCTGATACCGTGTGATTTCTGACTCTCGCTCACACACTGTAGGATACTCCGCTGACTGGTCTACTGTCAAATCAAAATATATTCAAAGTCAATATAATTCGACAGCATTGCAATTTATTTTGTAAATGAGAAGGGTTACAGTAATGACAAGAGAATCCTATGTGTGCACGAGTAAATGATGCCACCAAAATTCATGGTGAGAGTGAAAAAGAAATTAAATGTTTGAAACCAAAGCAATGGTGAGAGTTTAAAAGTAAGGCTGTTCGCTTTTCTTTTCACGAAAAAGGAAAAACGAACTATTCACAATCAAACAGTCACCAGAAATTTCAGCGGCGAGAAAAACCGCCATGAGACACCAGCCTGAGTACTGAGGTCAGCAGGCCTGCTGTGTTCATCCAGCTCTACCACCTTGTTATCTCAGATTCTCCAGCATCTGCAGTTCCTATTATCTCTAAGTACTGAGGTCAGCCGGGCACGCGCCACACTCTCGTAACCGGCTTTTTCATGCTGCCTGGCCTGCTGTGTTCCTCCAGCTCCACACTGTGTTATCTCTAACTCCAGCATCAGCAATTCTCACTATCTCTGACCCTCCCGTGACCGTTAGGTTAAGGTCTGGCTCGCGCGCCCACCGCCGCCGCGGCGTCACGTGGCCAGGCGGGTGGGCCAATTGGTGCGGGCCGTGCGATTCAAATCGTCGCGTGGGCAGTAAGGTGGAAGGCGTGGCGGTTGGAGTACAGGGGAGCGAGCGAGAGAGGGTATCGTAGAGTCGCCGCGGAGCTGGGTGTGTGGTCAGGTTGTCATTTCTCACTTAGTGAATCGCCACTGACTGAGAGACAGACATGGCGAACAAACAAATCTACTACTCGGACAAGTATTATGATGACCAGTACGAATACAGGTAGGAGCTCTGTCATCCGAAATACTTTATGGAATAAAGAGGTATTCCATCTCAGGCATTAATTATGGCCGGACAAACACGCTGTGAAATTCGTAGTTTTGACTTTTTTTTCCTGTCCCTAAAAGTTGATAATCGCGATCGTAGCCGTGTGAATCCAACTTCACCATATCCGAGCAAACGTTTTTACTGCTTCGTTGTGTTGGCAGGGTCAAGATGTTAAATATGTGAGAAATACTTCTCTATATAGACATCTAAGCATTGATAAGCAATAACTGCAGTAGGCCGGGTTGGGTACTGCTCCGGTCTCCGATGTTTTATTGGAAAGATTGTTTGTCAGGATTGGACTTCTTCCCGGTGGAGAGCCGATGATGTGTCCGGTGGAGAAGGCACCGATAACTTACCATAATGTTGTAACCCCTTGCCCCGCCCCCTCCAACCCGCGCTCTCCCGAATGTCCCCGGCTCCCTCCGACACGCTGCTTTTACATCCTGCCGCGCCATCTCGTTAATGATTTCGCTGCATTATGTAACGCATTCCACTGCTCCAGCAAGGTAATTCCTCGTAAAAGTTTCGATTGGTAAATATGAGCAGTTTAACGTTGACCGTCTGTCGCAAAAATGGACAAGATGGCAAAATCTGATTTCAGAAGGATGGCGAATGACTTTTACAGACTATTTTTTTGTTTTTACTGCAAAGCATCGCTTGTGATAATAGTTTCAATTTGTGAGGTCTTTCATGTCTGGAAGTATGATACATACGGAGCAGGGGAACAATCAGGCAAGCGGTGGCAAGGTAGAAATGTCACTACACTAGGCTGGATCTCTGGATTACTAATGTGCTGTGGACATTGGGTTTGAATCTCACCATAGCAGATGGTTGAATTTTGGTTTGGATTTAGCTTGGTTATTGTATAAGATGTGGACAATTTTCCACCTTGTTTGTTAGATATTAGTGCTATAACTGAGCTGGGGTATCTTGGGTAGAAGTGTGAATTTTTTTTGATCTCAAGTGAAGTCATAGAATCCCTACAGTGTGGAAGAAGTCCCCACTGTCCCCTGAAGATCACCTGACCCCCACCCCCACCCCAAATCCCTGTGACCCTGCATTTCCCATCGCTAATCCACCTACCCTGCACACCTTTGTATGGTGGGAGGAAACCATAGCATCTGGAGGAAACCCAAGCAGACACATGGAGAGCATGTGAACATGGCACAGACAATTGCCAGAGGATGGAATTGAACCTGGGTCCCTGGCACTGAGGCAGTAGTGCAAATCACTGAACTACTATGCTGCCCTACAAGTCTTCAGCACTACAACTTGGAGCTGTAAGTGGGCCCAACCTTCTGTAACTCTTTCTACACTTTCTTGATGTGGAGTGGGGTGAATAGAGTAGATAGGGAAGATGCTTGTAAAAGATCAAAAATGAGGACATAAATTTCAAAGTGATGTGTTAACAAAGGAAGCAGGATGTAAGGGAAAAACTCTCTTAGCAAGTAATTGGGGTACAGAATGCAGTATCTGGAAATGTGGTGGAGGCTGGTTCAGTTGAGAGATTTGAAAAGACAACAGAATTGGTAGTAGACTATATGGTCTGTTTCTGTGCTGTACATCTGATTCCCAGGGTGCTGCAAGTCTCTGTGCCATCAGACGTTATTGGAGTAAGTGAGGGTGAGGAATTATAGTCATGATGGGCTGAATGGCCTCCTTTCTGCTGTAACAGTGCTGTGATGTTTCTCCCCTCTTGGGGGTGTGAATCCAATTTAACAAGCAATCTGGCATCTGGAGATCTTTATTGAATTCAAAAATTTCAATGAAAATATGGAAATGGAAACCATGTACCCCCCCACCCCACACTTAAGGAATCTGGTTTACTAAGTACTGAAAGGGTGTAAATCTGCTGCTGGTGCCTGATCTGGTCTACATGTGACTCCTGACCAACTACAATCGGAGAACCAATCCATTTCCAGAGCAACGACGAATGAATTGCAAATGCTGGACGTGCCAGTGATGTCCAGATCCCCTACACAGTATAACAAACTTTGAATTATCCAGTAGGAATATAGATTTGAATGCTGTACATTCTCTTTATACGCCTTTCCAGATCTCAACATGCCAAATTCACAGCTAGTCAAGTACTTTCAAAATATGGTCACCTAAAGTAGGAGACAACAAGGTGCAGAGCTGGATGAACACTGCAGGCCAAGCAGCATCATAGGAGCAGGAAGGCTGACGTTTCGGGCCTAGACCCTTCATCGGAAATGGGGGAGGGGAAGGGGGTTCTGAAATAAATAGGGAGAGAGGGGGAGGTGGATAGAAGATGGACAGGGGAGAAGAGAGGTGGAGAGGAAACAGACAGGTCAAAGAGGCGGGGATGGAGCCAGTAAAGGTGAGTGTAGGTGGGGAGTTAGGGAGGGGATAGGTCAGTCCAGGGAGGACGGACAGGTCAAGGGGGCGGGATGAGGTTAGTAAGTAGGAGATGGGGATGCGGCTTGAGGTGGGAGGAGGAGATAGGTGGGACGAAGAACAGATTAGGGAGGCGGGGACGAACTGGGCTGGTTTTGGGATGCGGTAGGGGGAGGGGAGATTTTGAAGCTTGTGAAATCCACATTGATACCATTGGGCTGCAGGGTTCCCAAGCGGAATATGAGTTGCTGTTCCTGCAACCTTCGGGTAGCATCGTTGTGGCACTGCAGGAGGCCCAGGATGGACATGTCGTCTGCGGAAATGGGAGGGGGAGTTGAAATGGTTCACGACTGGGAGGTGCAGTTGTTTATTGCGACCCGAGCGTAGGTGTTCTGCAAAGCGGTCCCCAAGCCTCCGCTTGGTTTCCCCGATGTAGAGGAGGCCACAATGGGTACAGCGGATGCAGTATACCACATTGGCAGATGTGCAGGTGAACATCTGCTTGATGTGGAAAGTCTTCTTGGGGCCTGGGATGGGGGTGAGGGAGGAGGGATGAGGGCAGGTGTAGCACTTCTTGCAGTTGCAGGGAAAAGTGCCGGGTGTGGTGGGGCTGGAGGGGAGTGTGAAGCGGACAAGGGAGTCACGGAGAGAGTGGTCCCTCCGGAAAGCAGACAAGGGTGGGGAGGGAAAGATGTCTTTGGTGGTGGGGTCGGATTGCAGATGGCGGAAGTGTTGGAGGATGATGCGTTGGATCCGGAGGTTGGTGGGGTGGTACATGAGGATGAGGGGGATTCTTTTTTGGTTGTTATTGCGGGGACGGGGTGTGAGTGATGAGTTGCGGGAAATGTGGGAGACACGGTTGAGGGCGTTCTCGACCACTGATGGGGGGAAGTTGCGGTCCTTGAAAAACGAGGACATCTGAGATGTACGGGAGTGTTAATGCCTCATCCTGGGAGCAGATGCGGCTGAGGCAAAGGAATTGGGAATGGGGATGGCATTTTTGCAGGAATGTGGGTGGGAGGAGGTGTATTCTAGGTAGCTGTGGGAGTCGGTGGGCTTGAAATGGATATTGGTTTCTAGGTGGTTGCCCGCAATGGAGACAGAGAGGTCCAGGAAGGAGAGAGAGGTATTAGAGATGGTCCAGGTGAACTTAAGGTTGGGGTGGAAGGTGTTGGTGAAGTGGATGAACTGTTCGAGCTCCTTGTGGGAGCACGAGGCGGCGCCGATACAGTCATCAATGTAACGGAGGAAGAGGTGGGGTTTAGGGCCAGTGTAGGTACGGAAGAGGGATTGTTCCACGTAACCTACAAAGAGGCAGGCATAGCTTGGGCCCATGTGACTACCACCCCCTTTGTCTGTAGGAATTGAAAGAGAAGTTGTTTGAGGGTGAGGACGAGTTCGGCTAAGCGAATGAGGGTGTCAGTGGAGGGGGACTGGTCTGGCCTGCGGGACAGGAAGAAGCAGAGGGCCTTTGGGCCATCTGTATGGGGAATGCAGGTGTATAGGGACTGGACATCCATGGTAAAGATGAGGTGTTGGGGACTGGGGAATTGGAAGTTCTGGAGGAGGTGGAGGGTGTGGCTGGTGTCACGGACGTAGGTAGGGAGTTCCTGGACAAAGGGGGAGAAGATGGAGTCCAGATAGGTGGAGATCAGTTCGGTGGGGCAGGAGCACGCGGAGACAATGGGTCAACCAGGGCATTCAGGTTTGTGGATTTTGGGAAGGAGATAGAAGCGGGCGGTGCGGGGTTGGGGAATGATGAGGTTGGAGGCCGTGGGTGGGAGTTCACCTGAGATGATGAGGTTGTGGATGGTTTGGGAGATGATGGTTTGGTGCTCGGAGGTGGGGTCATGATCAAGGGGGCGGTAGGAGGAGGTGTCGGAGAGTTGGCGTCTGGCCTCGGCGATGTAGAGGTCAGTGCGCCATACTACAACTGCGCCTCCCTTGTCCGCAGGTTTTATGGTGAGGTTGGGATTGGAGCGGACGGCTGCACGTTCTGCGGGGGAGAGGTTGGAGTGGATGAGAGGGGTGGAGAGGTTGAGGCAATTGATGTCTCGACGGCAGTTGGAGATGAAGAGGTCGAGGGAGGGTAGGAGGCCTTGGGGTGGTGTCCAGGAGGAGGGGGTGTGTTGGAGGTGGGAGAAGGGGTCAGTAGAGGGAGGGTTAGGTTCACGGTTGAAGAAGTAAGCGTGGAGGTGGAGGCAGCAGAAAAACTGTTCTATGTCCAAACGTGACCAGTATTCGTTGATGTGTGGGTGGAGGGGGACAAAAATAAGCCCTTTACTGAGGACTGACCGTTCGTCCTCAATAAGGGGGAGGTCTGGGGGGATGGTGAAGACTCGGCAGGGCTGGATATAATCTAATAAGTTATACCTTTTTTTTTCTAACTGCTTCTTGAACTTGTTCACCTAAATTGAATTATGTCACCTGTTTTAGTATATTTGCAATCTCTCAAGCTTGTTTGGGAACTCAGAATCTGTGACATCAAAGTCAGTTCTAGACTGGATGGGTATAAGAATAGGAAGGTTTAGAGGGTTATGAGCCAAATACTGGCAAATGGGAGTAGAGTTTATGTAGGATCTCTGGCTGGCAATGACACGTTGGACTGAAGGGTCTGTTTCCGTGCTGTACATCGGACTCCCAGGGTGCTGCAAGTCTCTGTCATCAGACACAATTGGAGTAAGTGAGGTTGAGGAATTATGGGAATGTAGGAGATGGTGTTGGCCTTCCAGTCCCTCAAGCCTGTTCTGTTATTCATTGAGATTGTAGTTGATTTGTGGCCTAACTCCATATACCTGCCATTGGCCCCTTTATCCCTTAATATCCTTGTGCTTAACAAAATTTTAAATCAGAAATTTTAACAACCAATCCAACATCAATTGCTATTTGTAGAAGAGTTCCAAACATTCACCACCCTTTTGTATGTACCTTCCTAACATCTCTCCTGAATTGTCTGGCCTGAATTCTCAGACTATGCCCCTAGTTCCAGAATCTCCCAACAAGTGGAAGTAGTTATCCTTCTCTGACCTGTCTTTTTTTCCTGCTAATACCTTTTTGTAGATTCAATCAAATAAGAACATAAGAACTAGGAGCAGGAGTAGGCCGTCTGGCCCTTCGAGCCTGCTCCGCCATTCAATAAGATCATGGCTGATCTTTTCATGGACTCAGATCCACTTACCCGCATTCTCACCGTATCCCTTAATTCCTTTATTGTTCAAAAAAAATCTACCTTTTTTTAAAAACGTTTACTGAAGTAGCGTCAACTACTTCACTGGGCAAGGAATTCCATAGATTAACAACCCTCCAGGTGAAGAAATTCCTTCTCAATTCAGTCCTAAATCTGCTCCCTCTAATCTTGAGGCTATGCCCTCTTGTCCTGTTTTTTAAACCCTCTAAATTCTAGAGAAAGTGGGCCTAATTTGTATCATTGCTCCTCAGAACCTAACACTTGAAGTCTCTGTTCTACTTTCTCTGAGGCCTTCCTAAGGTGTGGTGATGTAATGCAAAACGAACTTGGAAGTGTCATTTTAAAAGCAAATGATTTGGTATCTGTCAAGTTGAAAACCTTTCTTGTTCATTAACTGCTTGATACTAATCACACCATAATATTCATTTGCAAAGTTCAGCAAGATTGTTTGTTTAGTACAGAGAGTGAGCATGAATGATTTAAAGTGGCTGATGGGAGTGTTCAGTGGAAATGGGCTAGATTCCAGGAACTTGGTTGGAACAATAACAATACATTAGAGAACCTCTAATTGTAAAATATAATTTGTTCTTACAAATATACGTTTTCACTTTCAACATTGCAGAATGAATGTCAGCTTCTCATTCATCATGTTATATTCAGGCCTAATTGAGATTTGAATATACACCGGAGAGCTCTGGGTTTATAGTTGTTTTTCTTGTAAACATAATTACATAATGATACTCAGTTGTTTCTGCTACCTTTTTTTTAATGTATTACATCCAGCAGTTCTCAATATTTCACAGAAGTCACCATCAACTGTGTTGCACTATCACTGATCTTCTTGTTTTCTCAGTAGGTTTTTAACTGCATAGACTGGTTTATTTGTCACCTTATTTAGCATGTTTTTGAGTTGGGAAAACTTGCTTTTAACAGGACGACCAGGTGGAAGATTGCTATAACCCACTGCAACCTGATAACTGAATAGTGGTGAATTCCCAGGTTCCAACTTTTGTAGAAAATCTGGATAACACTTAAGAACCAGGCAGGCAAGACATGGCACCTTGCTTCCCATGTCAAACATGAGGAACTGCTCAACTTGGGGCTGTAGTCATCCAAGTTAGAGCATTGTCTTCATGCCCTGAGACATCCATTTCTGCATGGCATCACAAACATTCACTGTCTTAGCTAAAGCTGCTCAGTGGATCTTTGGCTTTGAAATATCACTTTCTAAGCAACACAAATTTTCTTAAAAGCAGCTCCTAATAATTGTCTGTTAGATGCTGTGGGCTGTCACCACAATTTGTAACCTTGTTAGCCCAACTTTAACTTGATGTTAATGAAGTGAAGGATAAGAAATTGACCTGGCTGCTTGAGGAATGTAGCCAGAAATAGCATCAGGTATGTCAGAAAAATGAGGTCCTAAATGAGTGAAACAACAATTATGTTACATGCTGTTGGCAGAAACCTTCGATATGAGGCGGGACTATTGATATACTATACAGTTGAGAATGTTAGTGGATATTTACACTCCCAGAGGAGGAGACCCCATGACAGAGGCCAGCATGTGAGTACAAAAGACAAAGCTGTGTTTACAACCATCTTGAACCAGAAGTGCCAAGTAGATGGTCTGCCTCTACCACCTCCTGAGATCTGCAGCATCATGGATGCAGCACATCCTATTAATTTGATTCACTTAACTTTAAGAAATAGCTGATCAAAATAAACACAGACTGGGGCTCTCAATCCAAATTGTCATACTGGAGATTTTTTATTTTACTCTAGAACTAACCATGCCTCTGATCAAGCTGTCCCAGTACAACTAAAACTGGCATCAATCAAACATGGTGGCATTGAAGAGCCCTAGTGTAATTGAAGTCAAATGAAAATTGGAGAAAATACTCAGATGGTTGGTTTCATACATAATGTAAAGATTCTTATTGACCAGAAACAATTGGATGCTGTAGCAATGTGCACTTTTACATATTGTTGACTGAGAATTTCCACCTGTTACTGGTTATATAGGTTGATGTTCAACCTGTTAGCCATTCTGCTCCAAGGCTGAATTTAAACTTAGAATTTCTGACTCGTGCAGAAACTTTACCACTGCACCATGACTTTGACACTATTGGCATACCTACAACAAATGGTAGTGTGGAATAGTTTAATTAAGCCAGCTGGATGATGCCTGTCTGCTAACTAGAAGTTTTTAAAAACTAGACTGTCAGAGCTGATGATGAGCACCATGCTATCAAATGACTTTAAAATGGGAGTTTATATTTTATAAAAAGCACATGGTGTAAGCATGGACAGGACATGTGGAGTCAGACTTTAGTAACTGCTAACTTTTCTCCCCCTTTGTGGGTGGATTTCAGTGACTACCCTTTTTAATCTGAGTCCATCTTGCCCCAACACTAAAATGTTAAATTGACCCTTTTTTAAAATAGGAAGCAGATTTCAAGTAGAATTTGTCAAATTTAACATAGAGTAAAACTGGGTAAGTGCAAGAAGTGGATTTCACACAAATTTAAGAATCATTCTTGATGTTTAAGTGACTTTTTTTATTCACTTGTGATGTGATGTCACTGGCAATGCCAGCATTTATTACCCATCTCCAATTGCCCAGAGGATAGTTAAGAGTCAACAACACTGCTGTGGATCTGGAGTCATATCACATGTAGGTCAGACCAGATAAGGATGGTGGGGTTTTTTCCCTTCCCTAAAGGATATTCGTTTACTATATGTTTGCCAGGCTATGTTACTAAACATTTTAGTCTTCTTTGTTTCAGTTCAAGCAGATAAATATTTCTGTGGTGCTGGTTAACCAACCATTGATATACAGCTGATTAATTCTAAATTATATCTGTGCATAAGTTATGACAGCATGTTTATTTTTTTTGGCCATATTCAAATTATGTACTACCAAGCAACTATTTACAACATTTTGTAAAATATAGCATTCATAACTTCACTTCCATCTGCTATTAGTTATGCTATCAGTATTTTTCTGCTGAATATTTGAACTTCATTGTCCTAATTGTCAGGACTAATTAGTAATTTGGAGCTGCATCATCTATTGAACAATCCCAGATTAAATAGCTGACTTCTATAAATATGAACAAAATATTTAGTTCTGTCTGTTATGTAACCTGATTTCTTTTTAACAGGCATGTCATGTTGCCCAAAGAGCTTGCAAAGCAAGTACCAAAAACTCACCTTATGTCTGAAGATGAGTGGCGCAAGCTAGGTGTCCAGCAATCTCTGGGCTGGGTTCACTACATGATGCATGAACCAGGTATTACAATTAAAGAATTAAAATCCTTTTTCTTTTCATTGCATTTAGTCCTTTCCTAACCCAAAATATTTTAATGCATATATCTTTTATTTGCTTATTGCAGCATGTTGGACTTGCATTCTTCTTAGCTAGATGCTGTGTTATATTTTTCAAAATATAGAACCTCGTGAGTCTGTTGTTGATGCTGACAAAGGTGCCACTCACAGGTTGTGGTTAGTTTTGTTTTGTTTGGGAGGGGTTAAGAAGCTGCAGGGGGAGAATAAGTGATCCTCTGACTATCTCTTGCATTTATGCTTGCTTGTGTAGTCCTATGAAAGCTGCCTGCTGGTGCACTTGGGACATTCTTTTATGACTGGTGGGTGCTGGGAGGCACAGTGGGACATGTAGATATGAGATTTGTTTTGTTTTATGTTCTTTATTAGTTACACTATTCAAACAGAACAATTAGGTGCCTTCTAATAAGTTACTCAATTCCCTTCTACAGTTTTAAGAAAAAGCATGTACGAAGCCACTTTGAATGCAAGTTTTTCCTGTTGGGCAGCATTCTGGCTCACTTCTGTTTTTCAGGTTTTTGTCTTTAGGTGCGTGAAGTTGCTCATTATAGTACACCAGACTGCAGTAAATTGTTCTTAACATGTAGCTTTTTTGTTTTTGCAGCTGTATTAAATTCTCTTATTCAGGAGAATTTTGCAGCTATTTGGAAGTTTAACCTTGGGAATGATGAAACCTGTTTCCATGAGCTCTTAATGAACTTCAACATTAAAACATAGAAAATGGAGCATAAGTAGGTCATTTGGCCCTTCAAACCTAATATACCATTCATTCATCATTACCCATGGTTTGATAATCCAACTCTAACCTGTCTGCTTTTTCCCCATATCCTTTTTGATTCCTTTAGTGCCCCCCCACCCCAAGTGTTTATATTCAACTCCTTGAAATTTTCCAAAGTTTTTTTGACCTCTCTACTACTGAAAGCAGTCAATCCACAGGTTCACCACTCTGAAATTCTAAATAGTTCACCTGTATCCTTTCTTTTTAAAAGGTGAACCTTGGTTCTGGATGAATCCTCCCTCCCTATTTCTGCATGCCCTCCCTCTTATTATTATTCGCTATATTATTCTCTTTGATTAGGGTGTAGCTTGCTAGGCCAACATTTATTGCCCAGTTAGGAGTTACCACATTGCTGTGGGCCAAGGTCAGAAGTCAGGTAACACGAGGTTATAGTCCAACAGGATTATTTGATATCACAAGCTTTCAGAGTGTTGCCTCTTCGTCAGATGAAGCAGAGAGAAGCACACGGGCATTGAATTTATGGACGGAGATCAAAAGATCATGCAAAGTGGAGTGTTGACAGACCAAATAATAGGTCTCTGGCGATCAAGTGTCAGATGGTGTGAGAAGTGTCAACAGCTGAATAGCAAATAAAGCAATGACCTATTATCCAATCAAATGAGACAGAAATAATTACAAAAATTAAAGTGTGCTGGAGACAAACCAAATGTTTGGAGTAACATGATAGACATGAGTCACATGCCAGTGGTCTAACCACAGAGTAATAAGTAACCCAAAACTCTACAAACTAAGGTAGAGAGACCATAACAATTTATCAAGGTGATGGTGTCAAAACAGGACTGAAAAGAAGATTTTACACATACAGAATAGTGTAATAGGGTCACGTGTAGCACGCCATGAACCCAAGTTCACGGATAGGGCCATCTTCATGGGTACGGAACTTGGCTATTGATTTCTGCTTGGTGATTCTGCGTTTATCTCTAAGGCCGCCTTGGAGAACATTTACCCAAAGGTTGGAAGCTGAATGTCCTTGACTGCTGAAGTGTTTCCTGACTGGGAGGGAACATACCTGTCTAGCCATTGTTGCACAGTGTCCATTTATCCATTGTAGCGTCTGCATGGTCTCACCAGTGTATCATGCCTTGGGCCATCCTTGCATGCAGCATATGTGACTTGATCAATGTTGTCTCTTATGAGAATGTGCCATGTAAGCAGCCTTTGAGATACGCAACGCAGAACTGCCTACTGGAAACTGATGGCCAAGTTCCATACCCATGAAGACAGCCTCGAACTTGATCTTGGATTCATGTTGCACAACAGTGTGACTCCTCCAAACTGCTGTATCTGTAAAATCTTCCTTACTGTCCTGTTTCGGCTCTGTTGCCTTGAGCAATTCTCTTATGATGTCTCTACCTTAATTAGTTTGTACAGTTTTGAGTTACTTTCTAGTCTGGTTAGACGCATGACATGTGACTCTTTTGCTATCATGTTATTCCAGTCATTTGGTTTGTTTCCAGCACCACCCTTTTTAAAATTTTTTTGTAATTATCTCTCTACCTCATTTAATTGGTTTATAAGTCTTCCCTTTGCCTTTGTTAGTCAGCTGTTGACACTTACACTGTCTGACATTCTTGATCACCAGAGACCTATTCAGCCTGTCAGTACTCCACTTTGTATGCGTGTGCTACTCTGTCATCTGACAAAGGCACAGTGCTTTGAAAGCTTGTGATTTCAAATAAACCTGTTGGACTGTAACCTGGTGTCATGTGACTTCTAACCTTGCCCACCCTAGTCCAACACCAGCACCTCCACAACATGAATGCCTGACCAGATAAACATGGCTGTCACCTTCCCTAAAGGACATTTAAAACAATAACACAATTGACTGTAAACTTGTGGTCATTTTAGAGTCTTAATTCCAGATGTTTATGAATTCAGCTTTGACCATCTGTTGCAGCAGGATTTGAACCCAGCTCTTCTCTTTTCCACCCCCCGCCCTGCCCCAAACATTATCTGGGTCTAAAGTTCTTTAGTAGGTTGTGGATGCTGTGGTTGGTTCCCTCACTAAACTGGTTTGTTAGTTCGCAGATATTTCACTACCCTGCTGGGTAACATCATCAGTGCAGCCTCAAATGAAGCATTGTTTGTGTTTTCCTGCCTGGTATTTAAACTCTGGGGTCCTTTGGAATTGGTTACCTCATTTACAGTTTTTTTTTCTTTCAGTGGTATGTATAGGGTCTGATTCTACATGTTTATTGATGGCCTTCTTGGTGGAGAACCAAGCCTCTAGAAATTCCTGTGCTTGTCTCTGATTGGGACAACATCAGGGTCCTGATGTTCCCCAGCAGGGTAATGAAACGTCTACGAGCAAACCAACCACAGCATTATTTGGGTCTCTTGCTTAACAGTTCAGTGATAATGCCACTAGGCGATTGCCTCCCCCAATTGTTCCAACCTCCAGCAAATGAGTGATTGAATTGTTTAGGACGATATATCAGCCACCTTACAATTTTCTGCCCTGTATCTATTTGCAAAAGCTTGTAGAAAAACCTTTTTTATCACTATCGCTATATATTGAACGTGGCTGTTAACAAAAGTTATGGATTTCCATGGTTAACTGAAATTCAGAAGCTTTGGTTTTCTGTTTTAGTTGGGAAAGTAGATGCTGGAGAATGAATGTTGTTTTGGCGGTGAATGTGAAACTAATAGAAACAATTTTTGCAGGAAACACGTAAATAACATCCTGCTTTAGGACAGGCTTCATCCAGACTACAGAATTGTTGCAAGTAAATACAGTAAAGACTATGCATTGTTTGGTGACTGAGAGGAACATAATCCTGAGCAGAAGGTGGTTTCTTGGCACTGCGTGGATTTGCTTAAAGTGATGCCTTTTATCACTTGACACCTGTATTTGATCTTGGGGAGAGCTGCAAAGTTGGCTGGTGAATACTGCTGTTTCAGCATCTCTATATGCAATATTTACATTACTTGCTATGACCAGCAGAGGTCCCGCATGTACTTTCTTAAAACAATTCAAGGAAAGGAGAGAATTTTGAGTTTGGGTGAACTTAACCGAAACTGCATTTTAACCTGCAGTTAGAGGTGGCTTTCTCCTACCAAGTAAAGCACTTTCAAATTTGACAAAGCATTCATCAAACAGATTCACTTGCTTTTTTTTTAAAATATGATTTTGGAGTTGCTCCAGGATGTAGTGGTCACATCCATAACTATCAAGTCACAGCATCTGCTAAGTGAATGGTTAATCAGGGATGATCAGTCTTTGAAACTTTAAATTCTTTAAGTGTTGCATACTGTGTAAAAACAAAGCATTTTTTCCGTATGCTTTAAGTTGATTTAATAATGAAAATTGCAGATGTGATTAAATGTACTGCTAAATTGGTGCTAAGTTTCTTTTCTTTTTATTTCTAGAACCACACATTCTGCTATTCCGAAGACTCCTTTCTAAAGACCAAGAAAAATAAATCTTTCTGGAAATTTCTGGACTTCCTGTTTTGTAAATATTGTAGTATTCAGTGAATACATTTAATTGTACAAATTTGTTCAAACCTGTATGAGCTGTATTCTAAACAGCAATAGAGCTCATTGTGGTACAGTGGGTTTAGACTGCTAAGATGTGTATTTAAAAGAGATACTAGCAGTTGAAATGATCTTGGTTCCACTCAAGAAATTTACAGTATGCTGTTTACTTTTTCTTCTTTTGATGGATGCCATTTGTGAATAAATTTATAATTGCACCTCTTTGGATTCCTGGACTCTGTTTGTTTGAATAAGTTTTTAAACTTTTAAGGGAAATATTTTTATTTGGGAGGGGAAGCTGGACTATGAATATGGGTTTCACATAAATGTAAGTTGTTTGTTCAAAATCCAGGCTGTTTTTTTTTTAAACTAACAAAGGCCCTTGTATCACAAGAACAGCCTTTCAGCCTACCAGTACACATGGTAAGTGATTCAAATGGAGAAAGAAACCTACACTGACTGCCAAGTCAGACACCAATCTGCACAGCTATTTCCTCTTTGATTTCAAATCTCCCTTGACATGGTTAAGTTTTTTTTCTTGGATGAACTCCAAACAGTGAAATTCACAGCTGATCTGTGTGGGAGAGCTCCCATCAAGGGAACAGCTGAATGGCTTTTTTTTTAAAAGTGTCACCTTGCTGTTTATTTTGTAAAGTTACAATAGTGAGTAGAGTAGGTTTTGTTTTCTTGATCTATCTCTTGATCAAATTTTAAAAATATAAAACCATAGGTACTAAGTTAAGCTTGAGCAGTTTTTTTTTAAAGCAGTAAGACTGCTAGATCTGTAGATAGTTGAGGTGCAAATATGGCCTTCAGTAGAGTGATGTGCTCTTCCTGTTGGATGTGGGGAAATTAGGGAGAGTTTCCATGTTACTATTGATCCTGTCTACAGAAGCTAGGAGGGTGTGATGGATGGCTGCTATAGGAAGGGAGGAAAACAGTCAGGTAGTTGGGTTACTGCCAGGAAAGGTAGGAGATGGAGGCAGGTTGTGCAGGAGTTTCCTGTGCCTATCCCCATATCAAACAAGTATGCTGTTTTGGGAAATGTAGGGGGTGATAGACTCTCGGGAATGTAGAGCCAATCTCCGTACCGTAAACCTAATGTAACAAGTGGTACATCAAGTTACAAGCATTTGGGTTTTTTTTTTGTGATGGGGATTCTGGGGACTCTAGTCAGAGGCACAGACAGATGTTTCTGCAGCCGACAGTGGGAAATGAGCATGGTGTTACCTCCCTGGTGCCAGGATCAAGGATATCTCTGAGAAGGTGCAAAATATTCTCAAGCAGGGGAGGGATCAGGAGGTTGTTGTACACATCTGGCCTAACAACATAGGATCACATCCCTTTTCTTGAGGAGAGAATAAAGGATGTCCTCTGATAGTAATATGGATAGATATTACTCCTGGTGCCATGAGCTAGTGAGGAAAGGGAGGAGGAGGATTGAGCAGATGAATGAATGGCTGAGGAGCTGGTGCAGGGGAGCATGATTCACTTTTTTTTTCGATCATTGAAATCTCTTCTGGGGTAGAAGTGACCTGTATGAGAAGGACGGATTGCACCTGAATTGGAAGAGGACTAATATACTAGTGGGGAGATTTGCTAGAGCTGCTGAGGAGGCTTTAAAGTAGTTTGTTTGGGGGGTGTGGTGTTTAGAGGACGACTCCAGGGAGATCCTGAGGAAAGGGATCAGTCTGAGACTGGTACAGCTGATAAAAGGAGCAAGTCAAACAGTTGGGGCAGGCAGGAACAAAGCAGAGAACGAGGTAGGACTGATGCACTTCATTGATTTCGGTGCAAGAGGCCTAACAGGTAAGGCAGATAAACTCAGCATGATTGGGAACATGGAACTGGGATGTCATAGCAATTACAGATGTGGCTCAGCGATGGACAGGACTGGTAGCTTAATGTTCCAGGGTATAGATGCTATAGGAAGGATAAAAAGGGGGGCAAGAGAAGAGAAGGGGGAGTGGTGTTTTTGATTAGGGATAATATTATGCCTGTACTTGGGGAAGATATTCCTGGGAATATGTCCAGGGAAGTTTATTTATGTAGAACTGAAATAAAAAAAGGGATGATCACCTTTTATTGGGACTGTACAATAGACCCAACCCTCTTTCCCCACCCCCTCTCCCCAAAATAATGGGAAATTGTGAAACAAATTTGTAAGGAGATCTGTTATCTGTAAAAATAATAGGGTGGTTATGGTAGCGGATTTTAAGTTTCCAAACATAGACTGGGACTGTCATAGTGTTAAAGGCTTGGATGGAGAGGAATTTGTGTGTACAAGAAAATTTTCTGATTCAATATGTGGATATACCTACGAGAGAAGGTGCAAAACTTTGATCTACTCTTGGGAAATAAGGCAGGGCAGGTGACTGAGGTGTCAGTGGGGAGCACTTTAAAGTTAAGGTCAAAATTGCCTTACTCCAATTTAGATGGTATTAGATAGGAATTTTCAAAAGTTGATGTGGGGGAGGCTATTTGCAGGCAAAAGGAAGTAGGAGGCCTTTAAAAATGAGAAGAGTCCAGAGATAGTGTTCCTGTTTGTGTGAAGGGCAAGGTTGATAGGTACAAGGAATGCTGGATGACTAGAGAAATTGAGGTTTTGGTCAAGAAGAAGAAGGAAACAAATGTCAAGTATAGACAGCAGAGATCGAGTGAATTCCTAGAAGAGTATAAAGGCAGTAGGAGTAGACTTAAGAGGGAGTTCATGAGGTCAGGTAGGGGACATGAGATAGTTTTGGCAAATAGGATTAAGGAGAATCCAAAGGGATTCTACAAATACATTAACGACAAAAGAATAACTAGGGAGTGATTAGGGCCCCCTAAAGATCAGCAAGGCCACCTATGTGTGGAACTGCTGGAGATGGGGGAGATACTAAATGAGTATTTTGGGCCTGTGTTTACTGTGGAGAAGGATATGGAAGATATAGTATGTGGGGAAATAGATAGTGACATCTTGAAAAATGTCAGTAATACAGAGAAGGAGGTGTTGAACATATTAAAATGCAGGGACCTGATCAGGTGTACCCTAGAACTCTGTGGGAAGCTAGAGAAGTGATTGCTGGGCCCCTTTTTGAGATATTTGTATTGTCGATAGCCACAGGTGAGGCGCTGGAAGACTGGAGGTTGGCTGACTTGGTCCCACTATTTAAGAAAGGCGGTAAAGAAAAGCCAGGGAACTATAGACGGGTGAGCCTGACATCGGTGGTGGGCAAGTTGTTGGAGGGGATCCTGAGGGACAGGCAAGGACTGATTAGGGATAGTCAACATGGCTTTGTGCGTGGGAAATTGTGTTTCACCAACTTGAATTTTTTGAAGAAGTAACAAAGAAGATTGATGAGGGCGGAGCAGTGGATGTGATCTATATGGACTTCTGTAAGGCATTAGACAAGGTTCCTTGTGGTAGACTGTTTAGCAAGGTTAGATCACATGGAATACAGGGAGAAATAGCCATTTGGACACAGAACTGGTTCAAAGGTAGAAGAAGAGGGTGGCGATAGAGAATTGCTTTTCAGTCTGGAGGCCTGTATCCAGCTGTGTACCAAAGGGTCCACAGCTTTTTGTCATTTATATAAATGACATGGATGTGAATGTAGGAGGTATGTTTAGTTTGCAGACGGCAACAAATTTTGAGGTGTAGTAGACAGCGAAGAAGGTCACCCAGAGTACCATAGGATCTTGATGAGATGGGCCAATGGACTGAAGAGTGGCAGATGGAGTTTAATTTAGATAAATGTCAGGTGCTGCATTTTGGCAAGGCAAATCAGGGCAGGACTTGTTCACTTAATGGTAAGGTCCTAGGGAGTGTTGCTGAACAAAGAGACCTTGGAGTGCAGGTTCATAGTTCCTTGAAAGTGGAGTCGCAGGTGGATAGATAGTGAAGGTGTTTCGTATGCTTACCTTCATTGGTAAGTACGTGAGTATTGGAGTTGGGAAGTCATGTTGAGGCTGTACAGAACATTGGCTAGGCCACTTTTGGAATACTGTGCAATTCTGGTCTCCCTGCTATAGGAAGGATGTTGTGAAATTTGAAAGGATTCAAAAAAGATTGACAAGGATGTTGCCAGGGTTGGAGAGTTTGAGCTATAGGGAGAGGCTGAATAGGCTAGGGCTATTTTCCTTGGAGCATTGGACGCTGAGAGGTGACCTTATAAAGGTTTATAAAATCATGAGGGGCATAGATAGGGTAAATAGACAAGGTCTTTTCCCCAGGGTGGGGGAATCAAAAACCAGAGGGCATAGGTTTAAGGTGAGAGGGAATAGATTTAAATGGGACCTAAGGAGCAACTTTTTCACGCAGAGGATAATGTGTGTATGGAATGAGCTGCCGGAGGAAGTGGTGGAGGGTGGCATAATTACAACATTTAAAAGGCATCTGGATAGGTACATGAATAGGAAAGGTTTAAAGGGATATGGGCCAAATGCTGGCAAATGGGATTAGATATATCTAGGACATCTGGTCGGCATAGATGAGTTGGACCAAAGGTTTCTGTTTCTGTGCTGTACATTTCCATGACTCTACTGTGCTAACACAATGCTTTTCTAAGCATGTACAGAGTCTATATCCCTCTACTCCCAGCTTATTTATGTATCTGTCTAGATGACTCTTAAATGTTGCTATTGTACCCGCTTCCACCACCTCCTTTGGCAGACACTTGCCACCCTCAGTATTTTTAAAAAAGACAAGTTGCCTCTCATATCTCCTTTTAAAATTGCGCCCTTTTACCTTCAAGCTATGTCCTTAGAAATCAACATTGATATGGGGGGTGGGGGTGGGGGTGGGGGTGGTGTGGGTTGAGCACGGGAAGACTGACTATCCACTCTCTCCCTCCGAATTTTGCAATCTTCTGTAAGGTTGCCCTTCATCCTTCAATGGACAAACTTGGTTTGGCTTCACTTGAACAACCTCTCCTCATAGCTAATACCCTCCAAACCCAGCAAAGTCCTGGTGATTTTTTTCTGTACCCTCTCCAAAGCATCCAGATCCTTCAGGTAGTGTGGCAGCCAGAACTGTACCCAATATTCCAAATTTGGCCCATCTAAAGTTATTAACAGCTGCAATCGTTACACTCTATGCCCTGACCGATTGTAAGCAAGCATGCCATATGGCATCTTGGCCACATTATCCAATTATGTTGCCACTTTCAGGGAACTGTGGATCTGAACACTTGGATACCTCTATATTGTTGATGCTGCAGAGGATTCTGCTATTTAC